GCAATTGTGCGACCAGAACAAGAAAACACTGCATGGTTTCAAATCAGGAAAGGTGTGCATCAGGGTCACATCCTCTCACCATATTTACTTAATCTGTAAAATGAGCAAATAATCATAGAAGCTGAATTATACGAAGAGTGTGACATTATGACTGTAGGAAGGCTTAACCACCTTCATATGCAGGTGACACAACCTTGCTTGCTGAAAGTGAGGGGGACTTGAAACACCTGCTGATGAAGATCAAGGATTGCAGCCTCCAATATGGATTACAACTTATTGTACAGAAATGTGAAAGTTGTGTGATAATTGGCCTAATAATGTGTTCAACACTTCTGTTCTGCCTCTTAGTTCTTTGTACGGTGACTGGAGTTTTTAGAAGGTTATAATTGGCCATTGAAGACAAAACGAGTGGCCTCTAACAAAGGAAGAAAGCCAGGGTCACGAAGAGCATATGAAATGTGTGCTGAGTTGTTTCCATGCACCAGTGCAGCTTTGCCTTAAGACTAGAAGAACTGGATGGTGGTCAATCTTTTGATCATAGTCTATAAAAGAGTTCTGGGTATAAAGGAGAAAATAAAGAACAGAATTTCAAATACTCATGGACTCCAGCCACTTTGGAGCCATGAAGGCTAGAAAATCTCATAAACTAATGCCATGAAATAATCTTTAAACTTTATACCAAAAATATTTCCCGCAGTATTCTTAAAACCAGTTTAAATCGATTGGGGGGGGGAGTCCTCCTCGAGAATTGTGCTATTTTTAGAACTGACTGTATGGGAGCAAACTGACAGTCTTTCACCGCCGTCAAGTCAACCTGACTCATAGGGACGCCCTGTGAGTTTCCAAGACTAACTGTTTACAGGAGTAGAAAGCTCAGTCTTTCTCCCTCAGAGCTGCTGGTGGTTTCAAACTGCTGACCACGTGGATCGCAGCCCAATGCATAACCGCTGCACCACCAGGGCTCCAAAACAACATTTGGAAATATTAAAAGGGCATCTTGGGGAATAGTTCGTTTATGTTCTCAGAGAAGGCAGGGTAGGAACGGTTGCGTCATTCAAAGGATGTTATACAGTGCACAGCAAAAGACATTGCTTTGCGATGTTGATTATAACCAAAGGGCAGAAACACAGAGCATGAGGCAGCATCCTGGTGTGGACAAAGTACAGTAAATGTCACTGCAGTTTAGGCATCAGAGTGGTTCTGTAACTTTAGGTACGCGAAGCCAACAACACGAGGCCACCCAAAGGAGGAGTAACGTGGTCACTACAGAGCAACATTTGACCAAAAGTCACTCTGGGTAGATCAGATCTCTGCAAGCTTTTACCATACAGTAGATGTAACAAAAAAGTTGAAAATAAAATCTAGTGGTATTGGTATGCACAATTGAGATCTCTCTTGAATAAAATGATTATATTAAAATAAAAACCCTTGCATTTTTTTATCACTGAGTTAACGAAATAAAAGATGATACCTTGCTCATCAATGCCTAAAAAGGGCAATAATGCTAGAAGGCTGGAGTAACTAAAAACAAACACTGACCAATATTTCGAGGTAATGACCAATGTGTATCCTTCAAAGTACAAACTACTCTTTCCCCTTTATTTTTGTTAAGAATAAGAAGGCAACAAATAAATTCCGGAACTTTCATCAGGTTAAAAGTGTAAGCAAATCAAAATGGCAGCAGCAAACAGTAACAATTATTGGTCAAACCAAAAACTGTGATTTAAAACAAACAACTTCTATTTTAAAGTCAAATGAGAGTTAGTCTCCTAAGCATATCTGAATTCCTGAATTTTCTTCCACGAATCCTCCTTTTCTTTAAGCATTACCTGTGATTAAAATATTCGCTTAGAACAGCGGTTCTCAACCTGTGGCTCGTGACCCCTTTGACGACCCTTTCCCAGGGGTTGCCCAATTCATAAGAGTAGCAAAATTACAGTTATGAAGTAGCAATGAGAATAATTTTATGGTTGGGGGTGGGTCACCACAACATAAGGAACATACCGTATTAAAGGGTCGCGGCATTCGGAAGGCTGAGAACCACTGCCTTAGAATGAATCAACTTTCAGTATTTGAAGCATTAAAAAATTAATAAAAACATTAAAAAGTATTGTTCTGGGTGGCAAATACTCTATTATGTACCATAATTTATACAAATAAAAATTTTTAACTTGTGCAAACCCCTTGCATGATAGTTTCCTATGAACTCTATATGCATTACTGCAGGGAAGGAAAGAAATATGTATGTTATGATATGTTACGCCTTAATTGGACTAGTAAAGCGTGAGAGAAGGGAATACTATACTTGTGTCATGGATGAGCTGAAGACTACCTGCTCATTTAAAAAATATTCTTTTCAGTTCCTTGCCTCCCAAAGGAGTTCCAATTTCACTCGAATGGTTTGAGAACCGCATTTAAATAAACTCAAATGCAACGGGGGTGGGGGGGAATGGGGGAAGGCCCAGATGTCATGGCGTGACAATACTGATGAATCTGGCATGAAATTCTCATGTTAACAAAGAACTCCTTTTGGTGGATAAGTTCTACTACTGTAAGTGCATATAAACACTGTAAAGAAGAAAAAGGGGAGGGGGGAGATAAAACTAAGAGCTTTTCACAAAAGATGAGAGAATAACATCGGTATCAGCTGCTAAATAGCCCAGAAAAACCTTCTTCAGTGTAATTAATATCACCAAGATTGTTTGGGGTCTGCTTTTTCAGTTACAGAACTCTTTTACCACAGAAGGAAAAGAAAATGAAAGGGAACAAAAGTTTTCCTTTCAATGGCCCAAGCAAGAATCTCATTCAATTAATAAAACTAACTTTTGAGTTCTTCCCCTAAAACGGAATGCTTCTTAAGGGAGACCACAAGAGCATCAAAATAAACAAGAATAATGAAGCTCTACTCAAAATGGCACATCATTTTATGCTCAGTCAAAAAAAACTAAGTTTTGAAAATGTCTATATTAAGCATGCCTAGAAAATATAGCTTAACAAATAACCAATAAAATCCATAAAATGGACACAGAAGGATCTTCTGCAAAGGAAGATACTGTTAATAAAGAAAATAATGATTCCTTTGGATGTAACTGAATAATTGAAACATAATGAAGATAAAGAAATGTAAAGAAACAGAATACTTTCAATTCAACAAGGTAAAAAACATTTTAGGGCTTTTATAAAGTAATCTCTCTCATATAGTTTCCCAAATTAGTATTTATTCTGTCATCTTGAGATGGGTAGCCACTATACCACCAGGGCTCCCCGTCATCTCGTGTACTCAAGAGGTACTTCTTAGTGGACCCTTCAAGAAAAAGCTTCACATATAATACTACCATATCTTATTTATACTTTAATATTAAGCTATCTAAGAACTGAAATACCAATCTACCTTTGGAAAGTATAAAATAATTCTAAACTTCTTAGAAAAGGTCACTAACAGAGCAAATTAGTTTGCAGGGTAACATTTCACCCACCAGCAGAACAATTCAGAGTTCTCTTACCCGAGAAGGCAATTTGGTCTGTGGAGATTTAGTTTGTTAAAAGGGAAGCAGGATCCCTCTCCCTATGGTAAGAAATTCCTTGTAAGCCTGTTAATCATTCAAGTCTGAGCCTGTTGCAAAATCTGTTTATTATTTAAGGAAGCTCTTAATTCAAGAAAGGGGAAACAGGGCCACTTAGATAAGCAATAGCGTCAGAAACCTTATGGGGTACCCGTCTGACAGCCTCTGCATAAGGAAGATATCAACTGATGGTCTAATAATCGCTTGGGGAAATGTATACTGCTTCCAGTGAATCTTGTTCCCTTTTGTCCCATTGCTTGAAAGTCCTCCGATAATTGTAAAACCTGTTAATTAACTCCTGAGACTATTGTAAAGCCTGTTTCCGTTTTAAGGTATATATAACTTGCTGGACGACCTTGATTGAATTTTTCAACAGTTTGGAGGTAGAAACCCCAATTTCCTTCTGTCAGCGCCTGCAGGAATAAACTTAACAAAACCAAACCAAACTCATTACCGTTGAGTAGATGCCAACTCACAGCGACCCCTGGTGGGTTGCCCAGACCATAATTGCTTCCAGGAATGGAAAGCCCAGTCTTTCTCCCTTGGACCAGCTGGTGGTTTCGGATAGCCGACCATGCCGATCATTGCAGCCTAATGCATAAGCACTACTACACCACTGGGGCTCATACAGGAATAAACTCAGAATTTCTCAAATCAACCTAGTCTGTGTCTTTGGCTAAACAGTTCCAGGCTCTCCTGGACCCCTTGACAGCCTGCAAAACTCCCAAAAAGTATATTCAAAGGAATGAACACAAGTGAGTCAACGGTTCAGTCCTGCTAGTGGTATAAATGAAGTAATTGGGAAGTTATTTCTATGTGTTCTACTTACTATTCCTAAAGCTGAATGAACAACAACTCATCTGAGAAGTATTTAACAATATGAAATTAGGAACTTTGGAAATGTTTTACACCTGGAAGTTAGGCCTATCAAATTGTTGGCCTTTGAAGAGAACAAAAGACCATTACTTTACATTTATCATATATAATTTTATATATGACTCAGATTATATCAAAGTGTAAATTTGAGATTTGTTCATTGTGAGCCTACTATAGCTATTAGTCAGGCTTTCGCCAAAATAGCTTAGTAATTTCCTGGCAAGAACATGCAAATAGCCATTTTTACACTTAACATCATCTAAAAATGTCCAGGGTTCACCTCTTACCATTTGGATTAGTTTGGGCAAATAACTTAATCTTTGCTTAATCTGTTTTTACTGTACACTGCTGTAATTAAATGAGTTAACAGTTTAAAATTTTAATAAAATGCCCAACAGTAAGCACATGTTAAGCTATTATTACTAAAATCGGAAAACAGCTATGAAAAGTATTTACACTTTATCAAAGATATTAGAGCATTTTAGGATTTAAGGTTATTGTGAAGTATAATTAATATTCTGATTAAACAGAGAAAGGTATTCAAACAATTCAAAAACTTACTTTATGGCTGCATAATAAAATGTCCCAAACCAAACACCAGAAGTTATTAGGTGTACTGGAATCAAAACCTTTCCATACTGTCTAAATGTTTTCTTAAATCGCTGATATAGACTAATAGATTTGTCTTGTAATGGATCAAGTTCTTCCTTTTTTCCTGTGGGAGTTCCTTGGGATGTGGCATTGGATGATGCAACTCTCTTGGGTAAATAATCTTGCTCCCATTGTTTAAAGTGAAGAACACCAAGTAGGGATGGCTGAGACTTGAATGGCTTCCTCTCCTTTCCAATACACTGGGCAGCAGATAAGTGTAGCCATTGTTTCTGAGGGCCTTGGACCAATACTATCTTGGAGTCCGCATTATACAAGAGTAATAGTCCTCTTATGCTTTGACAGTATCCAAAAAGACCAGCTTTAGGTGGTCTCAAGGGTGTCCGCTGGACCAGCCCAGTTACAGTCCGTAGTACGTTCCACTGCATTTTGAAGAATGGTGATCGATGGGTTTCAGCTTCTACAGAGACTATATTTAAAAAATAAACAAACAAAAAACATTATGTTTCCTTCCTAAAAAAAAAAAATCAATTAAAAATAAAAGACATCCAAGGAAAGAATGCTACTAAATTCTCAAAACTTAATATTAGGGTCACATAGTTCTAAAAATTTCATTAAAATACATGGTTTCAATTTTATAACCAAAAAATATGCAACCCAAGTTTCTTACTGCAGTTAGCCTAATTTACATCATGCTTTCCCTGTTCCCCATGAGAGTGCCTTTGGAGTTTTAAAAATGTGCTGCATTGCTCATTGGCAAACATGATGTTTCCTGAAAAAGCCTCGAACCATCCCAAGGAAAGCAAATTCCTGCTTTGTGGTTAGTCAACAGAGACATCCTCATAGTGGCCTCCGACTTAAAGAGCCTTACTTTTTCTGTCTGCTTGTTTAGTGAACTGCACCCATAGTTATCCTGAAACCTGAGTGAATGTAAAACATCTGTATGTGACTCCCCTAGGGTGTGAATTCAAAAGCATATAATCTCTATGTATTCATTCTGATTTCAATGGGGATGCCATCACGAGCCCTGGTGACATAGTTACACTTCTGGCTGCTAATTGCAAGGTTAGCAGTTTGAAATCACCAGCTGATCCTTGGGAGAAAGATAAGGCTTTCTGGTAAAGAGTTACTGTATTTCAAAACAACAGGTGCAGCCTACCCTGTCCTATAGGGTTGCTAGGGGTCAAAACTGAACCAATGATAGTTTGGTTTGGTTTTGCCACCAAGAAAACCTGCCTTGCTGTAGTTCTTCCATCTGCGCCACCTAATCAACGTCTTTTCTAACTTGGAGCAAGTGAATTGTCTCTGCTGCTTCAGGGCACAAATCCTTACTTGTGATGTCAAAATGATACAGTAAATCAGATTGGCAAACATCATGGAGGATAATTTTTAAAGGGTTTTTTGGATTGAAAACAAGGTTATTTGTAGGACATCTATTAGTCAACAAAAAACTGAGAGGCAGGAAGGTTAGGGAAAAGGGGTTGTCACTCAAAGCTATGGGAAACGACAATCTCAGTACAGGCCAGTTACCTCAGACACACACTTATGCACACCCAAAGCCTGGACATACGCAGTCGGGACTAGTCAGTCACATGTACACTTACACACACAGCCAATTACCTCCAAGTGAATACAGCCTATTCTTGTCTCTGAGAATACACTATAAAAACATTACTTTAGCACATAAAAGTTTACTTTAACTTACTATCTTGCTTCTGCCATGTGAATTCTTTCCAGATTGAGAAGCAAGAACTGAGGAAAAGCATCCTGTAACCTTACACATTCTGTGTGGCAAAGTGGAAATAGCAACTGGGAGCAAAAGACCTGGAATCTGTATGGATTGAGGACATGTGAGAAAACACCGTTCAGACTACAAGTCTACGATGAGAATAAGGCACCAGCAACAGTCTGAAAGTGGAATTAAGAAAACGATTCCTTTTATAAAATTATCCCAAACAAAACCCCAAAACCTAGGAAATGAGCAAATTTAGGAGCTGTGGTGGCATGATGATGACACATTGGGCTTGTCAGCAGTTCAAAACCACCAGCGGCCTTTCCAGAGAAAGATGAGGCTTTCTATTCTCGTGAACAGTTACAGTCTCAGAAACTAAAGGGTCAGTTGTACTCTGTGCTAGAGGGTCACTATGAGCCTACACTGACTCATGGCAGTGAGCGATTTAGGAGCAAATTTAAAAGGAGGTGAAATAATTGTACACTCAAAAATATAAAACGTTGAAGACCTAAATGATTAGAAAGATAACCTCTTTTTGTGGATTGGAAGACTCCCTATCATTACAATGTCAGTATTATCCAAAAGTATCTAGACATCAATGTAATCCTGATCAAAAGTTCAAACAGTCTTCTTTGCAGAAATGGAAGAGCCAATCCTAAAATACATTATGGAATTGCAAAGGACTATGAATAGCCAAAAATATCTTGGAAGAACCATGTAGCAAGACTCAAATCATACTGTAAAGCTACATGAATTAACATAGCATGGTTCTGGTTTGGTGTTGAGTGCCACTGAGCCAGCTCTATAGCGACTCCCATGTACGAAAGAACCATGAAATGCACCATCTTCATGATTAATGTGATATTTGAGCCCATTGTTACAGCCACTGCATCGATCCACCCCGTTGCAGGTTTCATTTTTTTTCTGACCCTCTATTTTAACAAGCATACTGTCTCTGGTCATTTGTCATGCGCTGGTGGCTTGTGTGTTGCTTTGATGCTAGAAGATCGGTCACTGGTAGTTCAAAGACTATCAGGGTCACCCAAAGTGAACAAGTTTCAGCAGAACACAAAGAAGGAAGAGGCTGCTCACTGGAGAGGAATTAGTTGCTGAAAACCTCTGAACAGCAGAACGCTGTCAGAGATCGTACCAGAAGATGAGTCTGTCAAGTCATTCAAAGTAAGACTGAGGAAAAGCTGCCTTCTCAAAGTAGAGTCAACCACAATGACGTGAAAGGAACAAAGCCTTTAAGACCTTCATCTGCTGATGGGGCATGACGCAAAATACTAAACCGCTGCAAACATCTACTAATAACTGGAACTTAGCATGTGTGGAGAATAAATCTAGGAAAATCAGGAGTCATTAAAAATGTGATGGAAAGACTAAAGATGGACATCCTAGGCATTAGTGAGCTGAACTGGGACTAGTATTGGCCAGTTTGAATCAGGAAAATCATGTGGTTTATTATATTGGGAATGAAGTCAACTCGTCACCCAAAAAGGAAGTCTCAAGATTTATCTTTAAGTACAACGCTGTCTGAGATAGAATACCTATCAGTGTACAAGGAAATCCAGTCAATATAAATACTATTCAAATTTACACATGCACCATTAAACCCAGTGATACAGAAAGTAAGGCTTTTTTGGTCTTTGTTTGGAAATAATTTTATTTTAGTCATTTTATCGGGAGTATTACGCTTATCACAACCCATCCATCCATCCATCCATCCATC